CGATTACCACTCATAGCAACCCCATAGGACAGAGTAGAACTGCCCAGGTAGTTTCAGAGACTAACTCTGTACAAGAAAAGCCTCAACTTCAGATGCTAATAGTTTTGAACTGCTTCACTGAGCTGCAGGGTACACTGAGCTGCAGCCACTACCAGGGCTCCTTATGTAAATTGTGGACATCAGTTAAGTATTAAGTATCACTACTGGTTTATCTGTCTTAACAAATGTACTATACATTACAGCAAGGTGTGCACTGTCTGATAGCAAGGCTATTCACTATTCACATTCCTGGTCAGTGGTCCAAGGGGATTCACTTGAGGCTTAATCCATGTGGGAATCCTGCAAATTGTTTTGGGCTTTCACTGTCATCCATCAATAGCCTTCTACAAATTGGTCCTCTGAATTTAAGCTTTAATACTGTTCGCTCCTCTGGTATTGGATTTTATTTTTTATAATCCTTGGATCACACAGGCTGGTGTGCTTATTCCGTGTAGACTCAACCGAAACTCACTTAGATGGGCCCACTGTAGATTTCAGTTAAGTTTAAAAAATCTATTCATGTAGTTTTGAGTTTTTGTGGTATTTTCTTTTTGGTATGTTCTAAAGGACTTCCTTCAAGATTTGTGCATACCTTGCTGCTCCCGTTTGTTTGTTTTTTTGGTCTTAAAATATTGGTAATTCACTTCTGATTGTGAAAATTATTTTTGCTGGGTGTAATTTTTCTGGGTTGATAACTCCAATGTCTGCTTGCATGCATCTTTTCACTTTGAAGTGTTATCAAGAAATCTGATGACATTCTTATATATGTAAAATGGCATTTTCTCTATTTTTATGATTTTTTTGTTTGTTTCTGATTTTGAGCAATTTGATGATAAAATATCCTGGTGATGTTTACTTCATGTTTATTTTACTTAGGCTTTGTTGAGTTTTTTGGTGAGTTTATAGTTTTAGCCATTATTTCTAAAAACTTTTTAAGATATTTCCCTTTAGTTACTAATTATATATTAGACTGCTTGAAGTTGTCTTACAGATTGCCTGTATCTTTTTAATTTTTATTTTTGTTTCATTTTGGATGATATGGATTGAATTGAGTCCCTGATCTTATGGTAATTTGGCTAGGCCATTATTCTCAGTATTAGGTAATTACCTTTTCATTTTGTGATCTAACTGTTCCATGTGTGGTAAATCCTAACATCTATGATGTTTATGAGTCAGGATACAATCTATACAGGGGTTCTCAAACTTTTTAAACAGGGGCCAGTTCACACTCCCTCAGACCCATTGGAGGAGCCGGACTATAGTTTTAAAAAAACTATGAACAAATTCCTAGGCACACTGCACATATCTTACTTTGAAGTAAAAAGCCAAATGGGGCAAAAACACCTGGCAGGCTGGATAAATGTCCTCGGCGGGCTGCAATTTGAGGACCCCTGATCTATAGGTTCAGTTTATTTTGACAGTCTTTCTTCAGTTATAAAAGAGATTAATCAACCAAGTAAAGAAAGAGGAACCTCTTATCAAGAAAAATTATCAAGTAAAATTAATCAGGTTCAGAGGGCATACTTTAGACCTGAGACCCTGCTTTGAGAAATTCCTAGATCCAGGGGAAAGGGTAATGACAAGTGTCCTTGGCCCAGAGCTGAGGAGAAAACATAAATTTGGATTTCTAGCCTCAACAGTGTGGAGCTGTTCGAGGGCAGGGCAGGGCAGGGCAGGGCAGGGCCTCTAGTATCCACAATGGTGTTGAACCTAAGGTAGAGTATTCTGCATCACAACTTGGGGCTGGGCTAGAAAAAAAACCACCTTCATCTCAGTCCCACTGATTCAGAACTGGTTTTAGCAACATGTAGCTAATGGACAGGGTGAGAAATGCTAAGAGGTTTTACCTGTTCTGGTAAAGTAGCCCTCCACCTGAGAGCTGCTGTTGTTGGAGGCCAGAGTGGATTTTTCATCCATTGCCCTTGGCCAGTGGAAGGGAGGGAACAGATCTTCCTTCAAACACCACAGACTTGTCAGGAGGAAATGGTGTAGGGTGGCAATATCTGACCTCCGCTGGCTACCAAGAGGGAAAGAAAATCCAACTTTAAATCTGCCCAAGGATGATTCCTGTGAGGCAGAGATCAGACTTGCCTCTACCGGCTATCTTTCTTTAGTCTGACACCGACGGCCCCTCCACTGGCACTCTGCCTTTTTGCTGGGTTTGATCATTCCTTGCAGTGATCATATGGAAGCCAAAGACAGCACTCTTGCTTTGGGGGTTGATAGGGAAGTTAACAGGTTATCGCAAGTCAAGATCAGAAAGCATTAAGTTTGCAGTCCTTTGTCCACAGCAACTCCACCTTCCAGCCACACCAGTAGCCACATTTGTCTGGATTTCAGTCTTGCAGACACATGACCCCCGGGCTTCTGCCCTGCCTGGACAAGTGTCACAAAGCTCTTTTAGTGCTAATAAATGGCACTTCACTCTGCAAGTCATCCTCCTACCCAGAAGTACTTAGTGTGACTCATACCATGGGCAAAAAGCCCTTCTTCCTCATGGTCTGGAGGTGCTGCTGCTCTCTCTGCCACATCAGGCCGGGATCTTACATGTGCCCTCCTTTCCTGCTGGATTTAGGGTTCTTCTCTTCTTGTTTCTGAGATGACTCACTTTGATATCCAACATAATGGCAAAATCGACCAATCCCCAAGTTAGTATTTTTACCTTATTTGCCTGTTCCCACCCAGCCACTAGGTAAAAGTTACAAGGACTCTAGATAGAAGATCCATAGCAAGTAGTTTTACTCACTGAAAGTTAGTTTAAATGAATCTTAGTATTTTCCCTGAGTAAATGTATTTTTATTTGCTCTGTGCCCTTAAGTATATTTCCAGAGATTTCAGGGTGTGTGTTTTTTTTTTTAAGGGATTCATGTGTGTGGTTTAATATAATTTTAACCCAGTTTCACTGTAGATCCACAGAGCTCATGCTGTTATGCTGGAAATGGTCCTCCCAAAGCTATTAATTTATTTTTGCTATTAATTTTAATAATATGTTTTATTTTTTGGTTTTTAAAGCCGCTGTTCTGTGTGGTACTCTTATGATGTGGGTTATCTGGTTAACTTAACTGGTGAATTTCCAACCCTAGGTTGGATAAATTCTAGAAGCTTTATAGGTATTTTTATCATTTGGATCCCCTATGTTGACTGTCCTCTAGGGATACCTGTTGATGGTTCGTAACATCGGTGCTTGTTTGTTGCCAGGGGAGCCCTCCCCTAACAAATCATCACAGGTCTGGTAGGCGCAATTGTACAGCGATAATAAGTAAAGATTATAGTAAAGTCATAGAAAATATGAGAGCTAAAAAGAGATATTGAAATAATGGAGTCAGACACATTTCATAGTAGCATGCTCACCTCAGTCCCGCTTGGTGGTCCACATGAGGATGTGGAAGGTGGGAATTGTAGGAGCGAGCGAGGGAGGGGGGGATGGGGATGGGGGCTCTTTATTGCTAACCAAGGCTTGTATTTCTTTTGGGGACTAGCAAGCCCCCTAATTATAGGTAAAGGCATACGTGGCAGGAAGGGGTTGTGCTATAGGTACTACAGTAATGGGAGGGAGACGACCTAGGGGTATACACACAATAGCAAGGGGTGATGGTATTGGGGGTATACATGTGACAAGATGGGCGGCCTAACCTTGCTTGCCCTAGAGCTGGAGACTTTATTTAGCCTAACCTTTCAAGGGAAGCAATCCACTGTCCCTAATAGCAGGGAGTGAGTCCTACCTATTGTGGGAGAAACAATGGTGTCTGCTTGTTCTGGATGGCTGGAGTCTGCAGGGAGATAACTTGGCAGTCATTTACCATATGTTGCAAGCAGTTAAGTTTGGCATATATCTGGGCGAGATAACTTGGGAGAAATCTTTGTTTCCCATAGTTTATGGAATGAAAAATATTAATTTGTTTTTTGATTTTTCTAATAAAAATAACCAGACATCAGATGCCACCCATGTTAGTCCCTCTGCGTTTAATATTGCCACATTAATATGCCAGTGAAGTACCTAAGTAGAAGATAGCTTCACCTTGCAAAAAAGAACAATATTAAAGGGCCCTGCTTTTGATCTCTACCTCTGCACTATACACTTTTTTCTTAACTTATAAGAAAATACATATTGTACACTATTTCTTAACTATTGAGCATTTGAAAAGTGGCTAATCCAAATTGAGACGTGCTGTCATATACATACTGGGTTTCTAAGATTTATATGAAAAAATGTAAAATGTCTATATGGGTTGCATTTTGAAATAATATTTTTACATATGTTAAATAGAATATATTATTAGTTTTACATGCTTCTTTTTAAGATGTGACTATTAAAATATTTAAAGTTATATCTAAGCAGCTTTTATACATAGCACAGTGCTGTTCTACATTTTTTTTCTTCTCCTAAATCGGGGTTATGTGCTCTATATGGTATTTTTTAAAATGAGATTATGAAAGTGTTATAAAAGTTTCTTTAACTTTAGAAATTAAACAAATTTTATTTTATGCAGTAGGAGAATATATACGTAAACCTGAATTTTATATAGAAAACACAGTGAAAATGAATTTTTAAAATTCCATGTTCCTCAGCAGTTTTTTATGCCTGATAGTGTTTTTTGGGGGTCGCTAGCTGAGTACTTATTAAACAATAAATTATTATTAATAGGTAATAAATTTATATAATTATATATGATTACATATTTGTATTTATAATAGTTGCATATTATAATTACATGATTGTAAAATATAACACATGCAATATAATTAATTATATGTAATTATAATAGTTAATAAAATAGATTATTATTAAAAACCTCTCGAGGTTCTAACGTGACTGGACAACACATCTATAGTAGTAGTTGTAGAACTTTATTAGAAATGTATGTTAGGATTCTTTTAAAATCTGCTTTTCATATTTGGTCATTTTTGTACTGTATGTCTAATTTCATGTAGTAAGAATGATTTTAATGAAATCTCTACAGATGATGATTTTGATCAGTTTGATAAGCCTGGTGCAGAACGATCCTGGAGAAGAAGAGCTGCGAATGAGGACTGGGATAGGTAGGTAAAACAAATTTTAATGTTGTGATAATCTATAGTTTTGTTTTCCTTCTACTTTTCTTTGTAGAGATCTTTAGTAATCTGATGATCTCTCCTGAATGGACCTGACTAATGTAAGGGCACAGAGAGAGCTGCCCAAGCAAATGGGCTCTGATTCCAAGTTTATAGTGCATGCAGAACATAGCTTTATGAAGAATATAGGTCCTTCATATGTCATTTATGTAGTGATGATATAACCGACTTTTGGACAGCCAAATGAATTTATGGCATTTCTTCCCATTTGCTCCATATCCTATCCTATTGAACACCAAAACCCAGGGCTCCTCTGTACATTTTTTCCCCCTTTCACTTTATTGCCTACTCTATTGTCCTGTCTACAACAGAAGAAATACTGCCTGGTCCTGTAGCATCCTCACAGTTATGTGTGAGCTCATTATTGTAGCTACTGGGTCAGTCCATCTTGTTGAGGGTCTTCTTTTGAGGACCCTCTGTTTTACCTAAACCAGGGGTTCTCAACCTTCCTAATGCCACGGCCCTTTCATACAGTTCCTCATGTTGTGGTGACCCCCCAACCATAAAATTATTTTCGTTGTTACTTCATAAGTGTAATTTTGCTACTGTTAAGAATTGAGTGACCCCTGTGAAAAGGTTGTTTGACCCCAAAAGGGGTCGCGACCCACAGGTTGAGAACCGCTGACCTAGAGTGATGTCTTTCACTGGAGACTGGTCCCTCCTGAAAATACTCAAAGTCTGTGAGATAGAGTCTCACCATCTTTGCTTCTACGGAGCATTCTGGCTGTTCTTTTTTCAAGACAGATTTCTTTATTTTTCTTATAGCTCATGCTGTACTCAATATTCTTTCCTAATACCATAATTCAGACACATCAGTTCAGCTTTCACTTGTATATGAGGCAGCTGGAAATACCGTGGCTTGTGTCAAGCACGTCTTCAAAGTGACATCTCTGCTTTTAAATACCTTAAAGAGGCCTTTTGTAAATCTTACCATAGTGAATGATGGGGGGAGTGTGGAGTGGAGACCCAAAGTCCATTAGTAGGCCACTGGAGATCCCCATACAGAGGGGTCGCGGGGAGGAGACGAGCTAGTCAGAGTGGGATGTAACAACGATGAAAAATACAACTTTCCTCTAGTTCCTAAATGTTTCCTCCCCGCTCCCATTACCATGACTCGAATTCGACCTTGCAAGTCTGGCTAGACCAGAGGATGTACACTGGTACAGATAGGAACTGAAAATACAGGGAATCCAGGGCAGATGATCCCTACAGGACCAGTGGTGTGAGTGGCGAAACAGGGAGGGTAGAGGGAGAGTGGGTTGGAAAGAGGGAACCGATTACAAGGAACTGTATGTGACCTCCTCCCTGGGGGACGGACAACCGAAAAGTGGATGAAGGGAGATGTCGGATAGGGCAAGATATGACAAAATAACAATTTATAAATTATCAAGGGCTCATGAGAGAGGGGGGAGGAAGGGGAAAAATGAGGACTTAATGCTGGGGGCTTAAGTGAAGAGGAAATGTTTTGAGAATGATGACGGCAATGAATGTAGAAATGCGCTTTACACAATTGATGTGTGTATGGATTGTGATGAGTTGTATGAGCCCCTAATAAAATGATTAAAAAAAAAAAGAGGCCTTTTGTAACAGATGTACCTTAACTGCTGCTTCTGTGGATGTTAATTGTAGATCCAAGTAATATGAAAAATCTTGGCAACTTCTATCTTTTCTCTATATATCTTAATTTTGCTTATTGGTCCAATGTGAGGGTTTTCTTTTACTTTATGTTGAAGTCTAATCCACATTGAGGATGCAGCCTTTGATCGTCATCAGAGTTCTCTTGACATTCAATAAGCACGGCTGGGCCATCTGTAGATAATGGCTCTTCCTCTGCATGGAGTCCAGCTTCTCAGATTCTTTATGCAGCATACAGATTGCATAAGTATGGTCAAAAGTATACAACTCTGACTTACAGCTTTCCTGATTTTAAACCACGCAATACCCTTGTGTTCTGGTTGAATGATTCTCTCTTGGTCTGTGCATAGGTTCTGCATGAACACAGTTAAATGTTTTGGAATCCCCCCCCCCTCCTTTTCTTTTTGGCAATCTTATTCATAATTTGTATGACCCACACAGCCACAGTGCCTGTGCATAGTCAATGAAACACAGGTAAATATCTTTTTATATTCTGTTTTTTAGCCTAGGTCCATCTGACATCAACAGTGATATCCCTTGTTTTATATCCGAATCTGGCTTCAACTTCAGCAGTTTCCTGTTGGTGGACAGCTGTCACCATTCTTGGATCTTTAGCAACATTTTACTTGTGTGTGATAGTTGATGATAATGCTAGATAATTTCTGCATTCTCTTGGATCACTTTTGTTGGAATGGGCACTTTCGTAGATCTCTTCCCGTTGGTTGCCCAGATAACTTTATTCCAAATCTATTGGCGTAGGTGAATGAGCACCTCCAGTACTGCATCTGTTTGTTGAGCCTGTTCATTTGGTATTTGGACAGTTCTTTGGCCTTGTTTTTCACCAAGACCTTCAGTGCGACATGGACTTCTTCCTTCAGTACTATTGGTTTTTGATCATAGGCTACCTCTGGAAGTAACTGAATACCAACCTCTTTTTTTTTTTTTTTACAGTGGCTATGTATTCTTTTCATCATTTCAGGATGCCTCTTGTATTGTTCAATTTCTTTGCCCATGGAATATGTCAGTATTATAGTTTGAGGCATGATTTTGTTTTTTAGTTGTTACAACTTGTGGAATACCTAGCATGTTCTTTACTTTGGGATTTTAAACTCTAGGTCTTTACACATTTTATTATAGTGCTTTACTTTTCTTCTCAAGCTGTCTTTTGAAATTTTCTGTTCAGCGCCCCACCCCCTTTAAACTCATTTTATTAGGGGCTCATACAATTCTTATCGCAATTCATACATCCATCCATTGTGTCAAGCACATTTGTACATTTGTTGTCCTCATCATTCTCAAAATATTTGCTTTCTACTTGAGCCCTTGGTATCAGCTCCTCATTTTACCCCCTCCCTCCCTGCTCTCCTCTCCCTCATAAATCCTTGATAATTTATAAACTATTATTATTTTGTCATGTCTTACACTGTTCGACGTCTCCCTTCACCCACTTTTCTGTTGTCCATACCCCAGGGAGGAGGCTATATGTAGAT